GAAGAGTGTTTGGTTAATAGGATAGTAGTGATAAAGAGTGTTTGACTAATAGGATAGTAAGAATTATTATGGAATTTAAATTTTTTAAAAAGGTGAAAAAAATTCTGGTGTTGACACATCAGCCAAAAAAATTCTGGTGTTGACGGAAAAAAGATATATATGTTTTTTTTATCAAACAATAAGTTATATTTCTACTATTGAATTTGAAAATCCAAAAATGGCTTGACCCCAAAAAAAAAGAAGGTAAAATAAAGAACATTCTGTTGTGGTCTTTTTATATAATCCAAAAAAGTCTTCTGATTATTTTATTTTTCTTACGTGCACTAATTAGTTTTCTTTTTGGCTGGCTGTGCAAGCGCCTATGGTCGTCTCTTAGAGCCAACTTGAAATATCAGCTAAGAAAATCACAACCATCAGACCAAAGAATCTATAAAAAAACATCTTCATCTTCAATCTTTTAAGACAAAAAATGGATCTTGAATTCAATCAAGACAGTGGCCGTGGTGGAGGAGGCTGTTGTTGCTACTGCATTGGCAATATCTTCGCAGTTGGTGTCACCTGTCTCTTGTTATGGCTAAGTTTCAGTCGAATGCGTCCGGACCATCCAAACTGCTCGATCGAATACTTTTACGTGCCTGCTCTTAAGAAATCTCTCGATTCACAACTCAATACCACTATCAATTTCATGGTTAGTCTTGACAATCCTCACGGAGACAAAGGGATCTACTACGACGATGTCTTCCTTTCTTTGTCTAGCCCCTACACAACGACCAATTCCTCTGCTCTTGTCGCTAACTACACGGTACCTCGATTCTACCAAGGACACAAGAAGAAAGCCAAGAAGTGGGTACAGGTTCTGCCGTTGAACAACCATACGGTTTTACAAGCGGTTTTGCCTAGTGGATTGGCGGTTTTCAGGGTGGATCTAAAGACAAAGGTGAGATTCAAGATTGTTTTCTTTAAAACTAAAAGATTTAGAATCGAGGTTGGTTCTGATGTTGCAGTCAACGGTGATGGAGTTAAAGCTAATAATGAAGGGATTAAGATGCATAAATCTGA